TAAAAACGCTGCAGGATTTCTCAAACATGCATGATTGAGTCAAAGCAAGGCTTTGGGCATGTTTTTTTTTTTAATGAGAGACATTATAACATGATATAAAACTCAAAAAATTTGATTTTACATGACATTGCCCCTTCAAGATGTATCAATAATTGTGTTTCCATCAATGTTTTTTTGAAGTATCGTATTAGAAAAGGTGAATSGAAATGGCATGATTTGAAAAAATCTTCCTCTGATTCGCAAAAAAGTTTATACACTTGCTTGAGGTGGCTTTTGTTTTTTGTTTTGTTTTTTTTGTTTTGTTTTGTTTTTTTCGAAAAAGAGTTAATGCGCAAAAGGAGAGATGGAAACACATTTGCTGAATAAGTTCTGACGTTGTGAAAATTTACCGCACATGGTTGATCGACAGCATGTAACATCGCCAAAACAGAATAATTACAACTTTCCCGATAGTAGCAACACGTTCCTGATAACTTCTCTCCATTGTCCAGAGCTCCTTGCGAGTTTGCGACTACTTCCTGTTTACTACAGCCATGTGCATAGCCTGGTTGATTCGCTTCAAGCCAGTTTATTGAACATGTCTGATTCACATTTCTTCTTTTTGTCCTTTTTGTGAAATTTCAAAAAAATTGCTCAAAATTTGAATTAAAATTGGACAGAAACACGGTTAACGTCTTAAAGTAAGCTGCTTTAAACCCAGCATTGATCATAAACTACATCTCCCATAATGCAAGTTGATTATTTTACTCAAAATTCCAAAATGACAGCATCCCACCACTAGGTGGAGGTGGACAGGGTTCTAATTCAATCCATTTCACTGCATTTTCACCGGCTATGTTTGCAGCAGCCCGGTTGTGCTGGGAAGTGGGAGTTTCCCACTTACATGCAATAACTTTAAACTGGAATGTCACTCTAGTGGGAGCTCCATGTCGGAAAATGGGGGAGTTCAGAATTCAAGATGTCAGATATTTTCCACAACTCAGCAGTGGGTAAAAATTTACGCACTTTTTTGTGTTTATACGAGGAGGTGTTAAAACATTGTTTCTATGCAGGAAATACCACGTAGAGCTCAGTTATTGTTTGCTAGCTGTGCTCGTGTTTAGTTGAAGYTTATCACAACTGGCCCTTTTTGGGCCACCATGGTGCTCATGTGACCATCGGTGAAATTGAGTTTGATCCCCCGCCTTTAGATCCTTCATTTTATAACATTTTACAAGTCATGACAGTTTATTTTAGTGTTTAGAGGCAGCTTTTATCTTCTAATCCTGAACATTTTGTTTCATAACAGTTTCAGTAACAGCGCCACAACTGTGGGACAAAACTGAACAGCAGTTAAAACTATAACAGATTATATTTGATTTGATCACAACTGGGTCGTTTTCTGAAATTTAAGGTTTGCAAAATGTTCTGCATCAACATAAGTTACATGAATTTTAGTCACTTTAATCCAAGATTCCCCAATTCATTTGAATCGCAGGGCTTTAAAAATAACGTTTATTTAACATATTACAGATAAAAATTACAGATGCAGTGCAAAGAAGCTGCAGGGAAATTCTGTTTTAATTCTGTTTCAGCCTGAAGAAAAGGATGGAGACTCAGTTTMAACTCTTCCTGCAGGCTGAAGTTGTGTGGTTGAGGCTCAGGTTCAGGAGGCTGATTGTAAGTCTGATCTGAAACATGAGCTCCTCGCTTTGCTCAGTTTCCACTCGGCACCGTAAAGTATCACGTTTAACGCTTTATCTTTACGTGATTTTAATATCAGCGAGCTTTGAATGATTCATCAGTTCAGAGTGTCTGATTACCRTTTGTTGTGACAGCAGCATTAGTAGACAGAGCAGGGGGAAAACTGCAGACATACTCACCGGTTGGGGTTTCTTTGTGGGTGTGGAGGGCTTCATAACAGCTCCAGCATCTTCCCTGGGGGTCCGGCTGCCATTCCTCACTAAGTCCTGTCCACCGATGGTCAGAGTTTGACTGCTGTTTAGGCTCATCTTGTGATTATTCACTTTTAAACTCTTATTGCAGGATTTCCTCCCTCCAAAAAAAGCCCCCTCCTCACAGGCTGAATTCAGTCGTGCTGCACTCAACAGATGAGCTCAGAGCTGCTGCAGAGGCACTTGGCTGACCTGAGATGATGCAGAAGAGGAGCAGGGTGGAGAAAGACAGTAAAATAAATAAATAAATAAATAAATAAATAAATAAATAAATAAATAAATAAATCTGTGACCTTGTCTTCTCATGTCCAGCATCATGCAGATGTAATCCCTCGATCAGGTTCTCTCCAGGCTGCTCCTCTCCTCTTTTGCACACTCTGTTCTGACTCCAGACCCTCACGCATCCTCCCACTTTTTAACTCTTTCAATGTGGGACTCCCAGGAGTGACAGCTGATTTCATCCAGCCAGTGTGAGTCATGACGTGTTCAAATGTGGGTCAAATCTCCTAACTGAGACAAATTTTGAAAATATCAAAATTTTAAATAGTATATTTCATTTAGAAGTTAAAAAAATGGATTATTTGTGTAAAATGCTACAGCTAAGGTTACTCTGCATCCTCTGTGCTGCCTCTCAGAAACTGTTTCATAATCCTGCAAGGCATTATGGGAAATGTGGTCCATCAGTGGCTGAGTCACAGAGCAAACAGCAGGTGAGTCATCACAAACGGGACACTTCCCATTTCTTCAGTCCATCTGATTGGATGTGGACACCAGTTCAAACACCTTTCACGCACACACACACACACACACACACACACACACACACACACACACACACACA